CGCTGAACGACGTTCCGCGAGCAACAAATGAGCGCCGATTTGTATTTTATCGCTTTATAGCCCTGGAGGTGGGGAACGGGGTCCGCGGCATCCTCGTAATTAACACGTTAATGCAATAACTCCGTGGCTCTCATTTGCGGCTTAAAGACGAATTACGGCCACGCCGGGACCCTTAAGTGTTATCAAGCATGCCGCTTTACAGCGTCCTTCTGCCACGACGATAAACATTCTAGCACGATACCGTCGTAAAGGCTCGTTTACACTGCCGCGACAAGGCGTAAGAAATTCGCCTTTTTCACGACTAGGGGTACTGGTGGTATTCATAAACGGTGGACGCGTCGCAAAACATAGGAATATCGCGAAAAATCGCGAGAGATTGCGGAAAATCTTTGCTTTTCGCATTAGCCTTACAGCGAGATTGCTTTGGTTGGAGATTTTAACGAGAATAATGGCGTAACAGCTTTAACACGGATTATTCTTTCATTACTTTCTCTTTGGGTGTTTTCAGAATTTTCTGACATGCTTTGCTAACTCTATCGGTCTAAAAATCGGGAATATTGGAAACTTTTCCTTTTCTCGTAACAAAGGGTGGTTACCAATCTTGCTCAGCTTGATGTCATCGCATAATTGGTCGCGCAGATAGATTTCTAGATTGTATTGGAAAATTGAGACCGCCTAGTACATATAGATCCCTGGGACTACAATTGCAAATCCGTCAATCCTACAATTACATTGGCGTAACAACTGTTAATCATTACTTCGGAGTCATTGCATAATCGCACGAATCATGTGGCATAACAATGTTCATTTACCGCTGCAGACATTAATTACTAAGTAATTATTCCTACTTTGTAGTACCTAGAATAATAATTAAATACCCTCCCGCGCCAAAATCTCTACTACTCGCGTTCTTACCAATAAATAGTCAGTTGAATCGGAGCTTAACGAGCCAAACCGATCCGTATGAAATTAATAATCGCACTGGACTTTCATCGGGTTTACAAAAAAGTAATAAACGCTGGCACGATCAGGCGTAAAACTCGTTTCCCTCCGCGTTCGAATTAGATACCTCGTTCGTAGCTTGGGCTGCACGCCGCGTGGCAACACCATCCAGAGGCAAAGATGATCCAAGAAATCGATACGAATTATAAATCGCGTCTACAGAAACAAACACACCAGCTTGGCTACGACTTGATTAATCGAACTAATAATCGAACTAACGATAAAACTAATTATCGAGCTCGTCCTTTTTCTCTTGCGCTAGTCGAAAAGCTCGTCAGCCGCTTTGGGCCAGACAACGTCGATAATCATCGGCAGATAATTGTTTGAAATTGCGTCGTTTAGCGGATATTTATCTGATTGCTCGCAGGTGATGGTGTCATTAACAAGATATACGTAAATAAGCGAAATCGTGCGAGTACCCTGGCAAGATCCGATCTGACCGCGTGACACGCCCATACTTATCTGCGACTTTGGCGTTTGTACTCGTTAGCTTAAACTGCTTGCAAATTCATAACGATACGTCACACCTCTGTACACTCTGAGATTAATCGCGATTCATTTAGCTTCGGATAAATCGGATTATAAATAAAAATCTCCGTTCGCGATGAAGAAGCTCCACGATACACGATACTGAGAGGTTGCTATTGCTAATCTACGTTTGATACAGAGTGCAATAGGTCCTTACTGTCGTGCATTCGACCTTTTGTGGATGGAACCAGTCGAAGTTGGTGTGTCAATTCTATTTAGTGTGTAACTAACAACGTGCTCTCATACCTAGAAGTACACTGGTGTCATCTTGGAATCGGTATTAAAAAAACGAAGAATTTAGAAAAATTTATCAATTCTACAATAACAAAGTGGAGATCTATTCTTTGTGTTTCATGAAAAATCAATGAACTCCTCTACATTATGTTTCGAAAACGTGGATTAGAGCATTAAAAGGCTACCTGTGGCTACCAGCCGTAGCAAACTCGGCAGGAAGGGTCAAAATTCGAAGAAATATTATTTCGTATGCAAACCACGATGCGACGCATTTATCTTTATGTAACTTACGAATTAACGCGAATCGCAGAGGGTTGGAAGTTGCAGAAAGCCAGTGATTCGCAAACTTTCACCTCGCAACTGTTCTACCTTAGCTTTCGACGCGTCGAATCGCCACACCTGGTCACCGATCGCCGCGATTATTTTCTCTTCGATCGATCAAACCGGCAGTAACTGCGGTCCGATGCATAATCGACGTTCGCGTAACACGATGATCGAATCAAACGCCGTAATAACGCGATCATTCCAGATGCTCGATGATTTCGCAACCGTGGGCCAGCTCGAGGCGGTGTCGACGAAATTCCGCGGGTGCGTGGAAGGAGGCGGGTAATGAAATTACGATAAAGGAGCATCGCGGTGGCCAATTAAGTGGCGATAATGGTAGAACTCGCTGTATCCACATATTACATGGAATTATTACCCGATGCAATCTCGGCCCAGGGACCGAATGGTAATTGAAAGCGTACAGCAAGGCGTACAGCAAGGCGTACAGCAAGGCGTACAGCAAGGCGTAAGCTTCGCCACGATTATGAATCTTGTTGGGAGATAGGGACACGCTCGGAGTAACTGTAAACGCGAAAGCTGCAAGTGTACCGAAAGATGACCGAATGCGACGCAGGTGAAGATTAATATGTCGCAAATGAGGGGAAAATAAATTTAACGCGAATCGTATGTGAAACGAACACGAATTAAAAGTAACAACGAGTTCGTGCTTTAATGGAACGAAGAAAATGAACTAAACGAAAAGGAATTCTAACTAAAGCCGAAGAAAAGAAGTCGATCGAGATCCAAATGAAAATGAGTCGAATGTAATCCGAGTGAAAATAAATTAGGTACCAATGGAATAAGAAAGGTATCGAGTTAAATCGACTATCAAAGAACCAGCACGACCTAAGAGAGAATAAATTCAGCGCGAATCGAGTAAAAGGGAATCGTATAAATCAAGAATAAATTAAACGAAAAGGAGCTTAATACAACTATGAGCCAAGTGAACAGGTCCAGCGCGAACCAAATGAAGCGGAACTTAGCGTAAAGCGACTAAAAAGAAAAGAAAAAGGAGAAAGACAGTAAACGACATGAATGATATTACCAATTCGCTGGTGATGGCCGTTACTATGCCATTTCGATACAACATCGCATTCGTAATCGAAATTGCGGGTTTAATGGAAATCGCACGGCGAGATTAGTAGCGAAACATTAGTAATTCATTTCGCGTACCAATCAATCGTTTAAATCTGCATACAATACCGCATTGCATCTACGATCTACGAATAAATCGTCCCGCTGCAAAGTATTTAGCTATCAGAACACTCGGACGTCTGTGAACCTGCTGCAAGAGCAGCCGTCGCGATAAATAATCGAATGCGATAGCCGAACCGCTTCTAAACCGAATCTGCAAGTTAATTGACACGTACTAAATTCTATTCAGGCAGCGATCGCCTCCTAATAACGCGGCCCAAGGCAAATAAAGCAGCATATTAAAAGGTTGGCAAAAGACACACGCGCTGTGCCCCGTGGATCTTCGCTGGCCTCACGAAACCCATGCACACCTTGTAATCTTGATTCTCAATTGGTGTAGAAGGAGTTTGCTCGTTTCTTAATACATTTTTGTAGGCCGGCTGCACCTGTTGCTCACGAAGGACGAAAGGAGCCGGCTAATTATGGAGCAATCAATTACGAAAGCCCGACACACGGGACGAGCTGCCGAACACTTCGTCTCGTCCTCTTTGGCTCGTTCACGTGGCCACTACGATCGATCCTCGATTATCCGTTAATTTCTTAATTGCTGGAATCACTTAAGCGTCGCCGATAAGCGTGCTTCCTCTTCGTTTGTATCGAGATCCAGGCACGACGTACAGACACTGATTTTAAAAGCCAACCACAGGGCGGGAGTCATGCGACGAGATGGAGGCTGAAAGATAGGAGTCAGATAAAAAAAGCAGAACGTTGCGGAGAAACAAAACATTTTACGTTTTTAGGATGCTACTCTATTAAATCGACGAATATTAATTCTTTTCCATCTTACTTCAGGTGCATACCCACAACTTCAAACTCGTCTTCGTTTCATCTCCAGATTCGACGTTTCTAAATCAAACAGTAGGACACTTTCTCTATTATTTCTGAATAAAACAAGGATCTACCAACTGCGACAGCTATCGATCTCCAATTCCTCAGAATTATCGAACAAACCTACCTAGCCTTATCCTGTTACACCCTTGGAAAATTGCATTCTTACGCCGATATACCGAAAGCAATTGTTCACGGTAAATCAAAGGAACTTCTAAATTCCCGTTTTGCCAAGAGGACCTCGCCACACGAAGCTTTCCTTGCCTATTTCGCGACCATCATCGGGGCGACTTACTCGTCGCACAAACGAGCGTGCAGAATTCCCGACGATTGGTTTTCGGCGACGAGGAAGAACGGCGTGGCGCGAGGACAAGCGGGCAGGTAGCAGCGGTGCTCTCGCTTAGCTCGTTAAAAGGAACCGCCGTGGCGGCGCAATATCTCATTACATTTTTGCCACGCCGCGTAATAGCCTCTCGATTTACACTCCCGGCACCGAGGTGTACTCTTGCCTGTTGGCCGCCCGTTAGGTGGCAACCAATCGAGCCGATGAACGAAGGTAAACCTTCGTCCAAGCGAAGCGCTAACCAGTAACCAGTCACTTCCACAGTAATTACGGGGCTGGCTCGCGTTCGCGTTTTATAGGCGAACCCTGGGCGACCGAGACGAGACCAGACGAGACGACTCACTCACTCGATTATTGCATTACCCATGCATAGCCTTAGTCAATACCAGCCCCAAGCTGTGCCCGCGTACACGATCTCTCTTTCCGTGCTCTTGTTCCTATGCTTATTCTTGTTATCCCTCCTCTCCCAGGTTTCGCCATTGTCCATTGCGTATGCAAGTTTCGTCTGCCCCTTACAGTCTTACAGTCTTAAGTCTTACAGTCTTACCTCGAATTTCAGTAACCAACTGGAAGGGGATAATTGCGACGAGATTTCGCAGCTCGGTCTGATTCAAAAGCCTCGGGAGTTGGTGTCGTAACCCTGCAGCTATGGCCGAAGACTCTGCCTGTACTCTTATCGGTGTAACGCGCGCTTTTGTAATACTTCAGTATCGTCACTCGGACACGTGTTTACAGCTTGACGTTCTGGAATGTAAATACAAAGATGTAATTAGTACCTGAAGCGGTATTCTAACAGTTAGTACTACGCTAACTAGTTAATCTACTCCATCTTCTTCTTTCGTCAATTTAAAACACATATCTAAAATATATTATCCAATTACACCTAACTCTATATCAAACTCTTGCCTCTAACTTAGACATAGTCAACCTATCGACCTTCGCGTCTCGTTCAAGATACCCCTATCACAGTGCCACACGCGGAGCACCCCAAAGTTCGTCGACCTCTTCAAACAAACCCCCAGTCGCGAATACGAATAAGTTTTATGGACGTTGATATTATTCCCGAAAATGTTCGATTTCCAGGATCAAGGGTATGACGCGCGCGCGTGCTACGCGCGAACGTGTATATACACATCGCCGTGGCACTTAACATATTTCCACGATGCGCCACGTCACGCAATCCACGATAATACTAAATACCACCGGCTACCGACGGAAACCCTCTTCGCCAACGTAGTCGGCTCGCGTGTGCCCGAGAGACGGATTTACTCGGCGCGGGGATCAGAGGTAATTCGTTATCCTGGGGGCAGATACGCTTAACACAGCCGACAAAAAGGTACACGCCGGAATATCCAAGAGGTGGCGAACCGTGCAGCTGGCCAGAGGAGAAAGAAACGGGTTCAAGATCTGTCAGCCAGAATGTCCACCGCTAATTAAGAAATCGAACTTCTCCGGGTGCATGAGGCGGGTTCCAGTGGCGTACGTTGGTACCGTGGAGAAAGAAGTTGTTGAAAGGAGGATAGGAAGTGAATCAACCTGTGGAAAAGAAAAGAATTAGAACGAGAAGTAACTGGAGGAACCGGAAGAGTGAATAACAAGAATCATTGGGAGGTACGATTATCGCACCAGCTCGATCTTCGTTCATCGTTTAATTAGTTTCCTATAGGCGAGTCAGTGAGGTGAGCACAGGTTTTTTCGAGGCTTGCAGTAAGTGTTTCGTGTTTGGAGAATACTCGTAGTACCAGGTCGAGGCATCTGAATTTGGAAACTGATGTAGACTTTCTTGCAGTTTTATTAAGGTACAGATGTAATAGGTAGGTATGTGTAGTTATTTACCTTCAGTAGTTCTAGTGTTAAGAATGCGTAACTCTTAACACGACAATTATACAGGATAAGTGGGAATGGTTTTTCTGTCTGTTACATCTTGCTGGAATTGTGGAGGCTTGAAAGTTTCTAATTGTTGAACTGCACGTTGAATTAGAAAAAGAAAGAAAAATAAGTATTCGATGATAAAATGTGTCTTGAGTTTATATACGACTCTCTGCTAAGTATAGTGAGTTCCTTATGAGATCTGAATTACATGTATTGAAACTATTGAATATTAGTTATTCAGTATATAGGATACTTTTTCTTTTGAACGTGTTTTATAGTTTCCTTTATGGAGCATATTCCGTTGCAGCTTTAACAAGACACTTCCTTGAATATTTTTAAACACAACTCAGTTCGCCTGAAAAATTCAAAGAAAAAAATCCATTTATAAATTTCCGTTATATTTATTTTGGATCATTTCATTTCTCATCTCGGAAGAATTTTTAGGCAGTTTGTAAATTTATATTATTATCGTATTATAATTAGATCGATACTTCTAATAATAATATTTCAATTTTTTCGTCGATCCAATATCCCAAAACCGAAGCTTTTATTTCGCATAATTTTGGAAACTTTTTTAATAATATACTCGCAGGACCGAACACTTATTTCCCCCTAAATTTTTCTTTTCTCTTCGTTTCTTTCTTCAACCGCCTCTTACCATCCACAGAATCGAATTTACTGTCATAGGTGCGCCGATACTTTCGCGCTAATTACCGCGAGAAACGCCGCTTTATGACCGTACTTTATAGACGGTGATTTTTAACGGGGAAATATAAATAGCCGTTTGTTTTGCATTCTTCTGTTTTCTTACTGCCTCTCGATGATTCGTTGGGTTTACGCCTTTAACGGTACCGGAAGAGAAGCCCTCTTAATTTCCTTTCCCCATAAGCCGTTTTCATCGCTTTGAAAATACTTTTATCACCGTGACTCCATTTTGTTACCAGAACGGATTTTTATCTCGCATTATTCGAATCTAACTAGGTTTACATTTACTGGTTTACAATAAAAAGAAAATTTCTATTGTATTTTTACTATTTGAAAAATTTAAGTTGGTAGTCTTGCTTTTATCGATGTCTGTTACGTAAAGCTTATGTTCGAAAGGCTTTATCGTTTCGTTAAATAAACGAAACAATAAATTTTACAATATTTATCATCTATTAAAAAATATAATATATCATTTAAACATAACTCGTTCAAATAATAATCATACTCTAAAAACGCGATTTATTTTTCACCTAATATCTATTACGCGTTACGAATAGATCTAGCTACAGATAAGATGAAAAACAAATATACTCGATTCACGGGAATCTCTGTTCATAAAAATAATTAAAAAAGAAAAATTCGAAGCTTTATACCTTTCAACCGAATCCAAAAAGGAAAAGATGATTTAATCTCCCCTTAATTTCAAACGTGTCGTCCATCGTGCCTTATGTTGTTTCGTATCAATTCGTCGCATTTACACGTATCATGCACTCATTCACTAGCATCACAAACATTGTCCAAAAACGCATAATTAGGCACTATCCAATGACAAGGATTAAAAAATTCATACATACACATCCATTCTACACGCAAATGCATTAATAAATCGAACCGTAAAAACTCGAAACGTCTTTGATTCTTTTCCGATTTATTACGCAACACTTTCATAGACGCCATATTTTTTCTAGTTCGATCCAGTTGCGCAGTAGGTCGCAAACGGCGCATTAATTGCGCGCATTACCGTCGCATTCTACATACGGCACCCTGTCCTATTCAGGCCCGTATAACGTCGTGATGGTAATTTCCATGTAGGATCACGTTGTTCGCGACAGTCGGTAGCGAGATTCACAGACGCAAAAAGCAGCGATATGCGTGCGGGAATCTTCCCTCCGTGCGCAGTGAGCAACATATACGTGCACGCATACTTAATTACCGGTCACCGTCGGTCTATACGGTACAGTGGCTCGCCGGAGGAAAATCGTTATCGATCATACGTAAACGACGCGCGTGAGCTACAGCGCGGTCGTGTATCGCGGTGCAACGACGAATTAACGATAGCGAGGGTAATGGTAATGCCGTATTACCGGAGAGAGGTTCGTTCCACGGTAATTCGTCGACGCGATCGGAAAGAAGACGTAGAGCCCGTTGTCACGTGAGCGAGGTACTGGACCTCGGATCGAACACGTTTAATTTCGTCGTGATGGTAGCGCGGTAATTATAGGCATTTACCGGTCGTGATACAACATTGTAAACATTCTCGATCTCGCTGGCACTGGTTACGAGCGGCGTACGATGGACGTTAAGTGTCTTAAGGGATCCAGTACAACTATCTTGCTGGATTTGCTTTCGGGCTTGCTTCGAGTAACCTCGACGAATGGTCGATTTGTAATTGGGATATATACCGTTTCTTTTGTTTTTCCCCGCGGTGGAATTATTGTGAATTGCACAGGGTGTGGTCAATTCGCGGTATAAGCGAGAACAGGGTGATTTCGCGTAGAAAAATAAGAAAAAAGTTTCAAAGAAATTTTTATTATATTGGATTTTTTTCTCGGGAAAAATGATTTAGACGTATGATGTTGTAATAAAAGAGAGAAAAAGGGGGTTGCATAAAGATATTCGATTACTCCAGGAACTTTGATGAAATAAAAAGTTGACCACCTAACCTAACCTGTCATTTAATCTTTACGATCGACACGAAGCAGGAGTTTTGTCCATTTCTAGCTTATATTTTTTACACTTTAAATATCGAGATACAGGAGATCAAGTCGGGGAATGTACGCTGCGCAATTAAAAAAATATAATTTTCACTTACCAATAATTCGGACGTTAATCTAGATGTAATACGTTCGTCTCGATATTCTTGCTATTTTCGTCGAACATTCGTGACAGGCTGACAGAACAAGAATGACCGGGGCAAAAATGAGCACTGAAATGAGAAAAAGAAGCGAATGAAACGTTGCTCGCCGTAAAATGATAAAGTAATATTAATGTAAATAAGTCCGTGACGCGTTCTGTTCAGTTTTGAATATTTCTCGAATGTTAATTATCGGACATCACGGGATGCGCGCGTATCGCCGGTCGGTTTTTCTTGCACGCGTGTCATGCCTGCCTCCGTGGATGTTCGTCGGCACAAAATAAGCCATCAATATTAATGAGCCATCTGAAGAATCAACCGTGCACCACTCTCGCGCGGATATCAGTCCGAACGGCTTAAACGACCGCTTCCTTGGTTCGTGATCGCCGGTTTTTCCGCGGATACTAATTATTATGATTACCAGTCTCGTAAACGTTTCCCCTGCGACGCATAGCGGCGTCTTCTTGTACCAAAGTTGGCTTCGATGTTAACGAGATCGTAGATGGGTTAGATATTTTCGCGCACGATGCTTTGACAAACGTGATAAATATTATTTTTTTGTGTGGAGGAAGAGGATAATCTTTTTAGTAAGATACAAAGATATTCGTAATTGTTGATCAATTTCTTATATTTATTCATTTTTTTTCTTTCGTGAAAGCAGGGATAAATTATGTTGGAAAATAAGAAAGGTTATGTACGTTTGTTTATGCTACAAATGCTAGAAGCGATTGTAGATTAGCGTAGAACTATATGGAAACCACAGCTCTGCTTTATAACACAGGAAGTATAGAGTTGCAAGGTGGATTCTATTTGTCGAGGAATGCAAGATGCTTCAAATTAAGATATTGTTGCATATACAAAACGGTCGGATGTTTCGTCACCAATATGCGAAGACTGGTTTTCAATCTACAATAACGTGGTATGTATACATATTTTGGCTTATGGAAATACTGAACGAAACTTGCAAAAGTTTCCAAGTTTTATTTTATTACAAGAAAAGGAATATTATTGAATGCGATAAAAGGCAACGATTTACTCTCTCGAAGAACATACACATTGCGACCTAAATCGTTTAATACGTTCCGTTGAACGAATTTTTTTCTAAACAACTACAAACGATCTTTAAAAACAAAAAAAGGAATATCCACGTCCCCAATGAGCCACCGAATTCGAATAATATTCCACGATCAATCAAAGTATTACCAACATGGCAAATCAAAAAATTGTTTCCATACTACAAATACTTACTAACCATTCCTATATAGTCTTTTCAGAAAATGAAGAAAGTATTCGAAATATTCATCCCAAGAGTGAATCTCGAATCGCGAACGTCAGTCAGCAACCCAGACGAAGAAGCGTAAAAGCGTTTTTCCCCTTATGCTAATAAGGCGGAATCTGTTCCCGGCGCGCTACACTACCCTGGCGCACGTGACGCGCGCCGGTTTCACCGGCGAGACGAAAAGAAGACATCAATCCTCCTCTCGCGGCTCGAATCCGCGCCATCGGTGAGCGCTCAGGTTCCGCTCGTTTTCGTCGTGTTTCGTCGGGCATTCGTAACGAGCGGGAGCGCGCGACAGTAAAACGGTGCCACTCTACCGGCCCGTCCCTCTTCTCATTTATTTCTTCGCCGTTTGCGTTCCCTCTTCTTGTCCGCGCCTTAACGCCTCTGCCTTCCCCGGGCTCGCGCGTAACAGCGCGCCGCGCCGCCCGGTTTTATGCATCGGCTCTTTGGTTAAGAAGCTTTTTGCTACGTGGCAGCCATCGTTATGGCTGCCCGCGTATGAGTTATGCTAATTGAATGTATGATAACCGGCGACTTTAATTGGAATGTAACCGGCCACCGTGCCTTGGCTCCGACCGTGTCGACGTGCCACCATTTTCGAGTGGTTCCGCGAGGAAATTCGCACGTGAATGGATTGATATCGCTGTATAAGATATGCTCGATTTCTTAGCAAATAGGACTCGAATAAGTAATATTGGCGTTGATTGGATTTAGAATTGTCAGGTGGAAGAACCGTTAGAGTTTGCAAGATGATTTTGAGCGAATGTAGATAATATAAGTTTGGTTCTTTCTCTCTCAAGAATTGCATAGAGGGAAAACAGATTTTGTGTATTGTTTGGATTAATTTTCCTTTTTATGGAGTTATATTAACGTAGATATTTATAATTGATTTAAGTAGCTGGTGCTAGCTTTGGAATTATCAGATGGAGCAATTGTTGAGGTTTGCAAAAGTGACTTTATAGTGGATGTGTGGGTTTGGTTGCCTTACGGTACTGTAGAGTTGGACAGGTTCCTTGTCTCTCAAAAAGGTGGAGTACAGAGTATAGCAATTTTCGTCGCCTTATGGAGATATAGCAATGTAAATATCTTATTGGTTACGAATACACGAAAGTATAGGCAAATTATGTACAGCTTTCGAAAGTGGGTTATCGAGTTTGAACCAGTTGGGATAAACGTCGAACGTGATTCGGGCCATAAGAGATTAAGACAGCTGTGTTTTGAGTTTCGTCATAGATTTTTTTTTAGTAATAAGAGGTTTCGTTGAATATATAAGTTGATTTAATCGCTTAACTTGGAATATTGTCTTTCACACGCGATGGCTATTTCAGGTTAAATGATTTCTTCGGACTTGTAATACGTATATAGTATACAGCAATAAACTTGATTAATTTTTTCTATACGTTATTAGTACTTAAATAGTAATCGAACGAAAATCTAATAGAATAAACATTAAACGTACACTTCAAGTCTATCTGTTTATCGATTAAATTAAATAATGATTAGTATGGTAGTTCCATAACTAAACTGTTTCGCGTATTCAATTATCTTAATAGCTTGTTTCCGCGATAATAATTATAATTCCAATAATGTTACAATTTTGTAAATAACTCAAAAGAGAACCTTCCAACAAAGTTCTGTATACTTATCATCAAAAACAGATAAAAAATTGACGCAATAAATGAATGTATTAGGCTTTAAAATATCGTCATTCGAAGAAGCTACCAGTTGCAACAAAATGTATGTGTATTATTCAATTATTTAGATATACAGACATCCACGAGCGAATTTATGAACGGGTATCACGAATCTTTAGAACGTTATCGGCAAGATGGACAGACCGGGACGCGAAATTCATTCGGGGCGTGAAACAAAACGGCGAGGAAAGCGGAGTAACACGAAGAGTGGAGGGTCCTTTTAATTTCGTGACTTTTGCACCTGTTGCCATTGCTGTTGCAGCGGCCGGGAAGGCGAAGATACGCGTCTCACCGCGGGAACAATCTCGACAACTGTGATCGAATTATCGCGTGTTCCGCAATAAATCCAAGCCACGTTATTCAATTACGTCCGATTTTAATCGCCTTTAATTAGCGTTGATTGCCAAACATTCACCGTGACAGGAATAATCGAAACGCTCTTATTTTTTACATGGTACGCCTGGGCTCAGCGAGAATCTCGACATGGCCCGGGTTCGATTTGTCGTACGTGGATAAATGCCACGTATACACACGCAAGCTCTTCACGGACATGTTCTCCAACTAGTTTTGTAATTAATCGAATTCTTACTCGTATCGATTTAACGCGTTTAATTTGTCTAATTTTGTTGGTAATTAAAAATTAAAGATAGTCGATAGTTTGTGTTTGACAGATGTGGAGTAAATTATATTTTCTCCATATCTGAGATTAGAGTAGCATCTAAGATCTAATATTAGAGTAGGTCCATTATAAGTATAGCATCAATAGCAAATTATAGGGTACCTATAATTTTTAAACTTCTGGTAATTATAATCAATAGTGGACCTAGAAATCCATAATCCAATTAGCGTGTTCAATTAATGCTAATAGTAACTAATATTTACATATACGATAACTGAATTATTAGTCGATGTCAATGGTACCTAATGTGACAGGAAAAATTACGTAAATTGTAGCATGTACGTTCACTTCACGATTGTTTCATCATTGACGTTCTTCACCTTTTTAAATCATCGTCAACGAGGGATCGTAAAACGTCGAAAGGCTGGCCGAATCGCACAAAACACCATGCAAATGCCTCGTTGAAGAAAGAACTCGAATACGTACTTACGAACGTCCAAGGCGTCTGGTCGATTGCTCAAAATGCAGGTTCGCGGTCTCTTTATTTTTTCGTCCTGTACAAGGTGCACGCGCTTGAATCGGCAGGTGATCCCTCTACTTTGGTTGTCAGTGTTTAATTTCTAATTGTAATTCCCGAAGACAAGAGAAGAGAATGAAAAAGATGCCGGGTAGGGAGATAACATGGGGCAAAAATAAAGAAACCGCCTGTGGCCGTTTCATTAAACAGTCAACCTCTGAAACGGGAGGAAGTGGGGGTAGAGAGATGGTTTTTAATCACCGTTAATTGCATGTTTGCGGTGTTTTCTTATCGATCGGAGAGTTTAGAGGATAGTATGAAATTAGAGGCGAACATTTTGATTTCATAAATATCACGTTACTATGGCTTATGAGAATCATTTTTAATATCCCTTTAATTCCTCTTTAAATGAATTTCGGCGAATACTAATTAGTTCTGTTAAATAGTTGGTGGAATATATATGTAAATTTATTGGAGCTTTTTCCTTAGATAAATCGCACATCTTTTATTTCATTATGGAAAACTAGTCCAATTTTATAATTATTCAAGTTCTACTTAGGGAACTCGGGTGAACGATAAATTTAGTAATTAATAATGTTCATACGTTCCTTTATTAATTAGTAAATTTGACTCGCTGCCGCTGACGATTTAATTGCTCATCATCCGACGCTCATTAATAATTCAGAGCGCGACCATTTTATAAATACTATACTCATTATCTGCATCCCACGACTTCTATTTTTTCCCAGGCAACCGGCGCGGAAATTAGGATAAAAGAAGAGAATAAAGGAAGGGCACCGAATCATTGTCGTCTGACCCCCTCGTTTTACACCTCAATTATACACCAGGCCATCAATCCATCCTGGATGAGTATCTCGATTTTTTGTCGCCTTTGGTCAATCACGCGAGGCA